AAATACTCACGAGTGAAGAGTGTAACGGTATTTGAAGAGTTTTGGATTCCAGTTCATGTAAATCACGTCGAAAAATTGCATGACACATTCCCAGCTGATCCAAAAAACTCCTGCCAAAGAAGAAAATAATTTAGTTTTAAATTCAACAGAAGTCGAAACAATCCGCTGCTTAGAAATCCAATAATAAAGGACTTTTTGCATCAATTTAAACGTACACCAAGGCCACAGGGAACGCAACAAACCCGACAAACCGAGAAACCAAAATCAGTAAATAAAGTAAGTTAGAAATCATTCTGGAGTTTTACCGTTGTCAATTTGAAGAGCACTCTTTCTGTCGTAGTTGAGTGCTCTTTGAAGTTCAGGTGTCCAGCTAACAGAGTCCATTTCGGAGAATTTTCCCTGTCGTAAGCAAACAAAGAGGTTCTATTAACGCATGGTTTTCACTGAAACGTTTTCCGCGCCTTTTGAGCTCTAAAATTTGTTTTAACGCGCCAGAGTTAAGACGTTGTTCTCTCAGCAAATCACGTCTAAGCAGATGCATGTGGCATGTTCTTCCTGCACCTGTCAAATTAATGGTTCGGTTTTTCTTTTGTTCTTGGGGAACGGTTGGAAAGAACTTCAGTGTGATAATGAAAGTGTTTTAAAGTCTCGAACTTTCGTAGAATTACAGATGTTGTACAATTTTTGCTGAAATATAAGCTACCCGTTACCTAATTACATACCCACGGACGGGGCTGAACAAAATCACAAACCAAAAGCTGGGAACTATAAATACAGAAAAAGGGACAAATCGACTGCATACCTTCCATCTTAAATGACTCCAAGGGTTTTTGAGTTGAAGTAGACGATGTCCCTGAAGAAACAGGTAAAACATGTTGAAATACACGTCAAAAATGTCGTGAATGTGATGAAAAACGTTTATAGCAAGCTGAGGTAAGAAATCAGGCCTGTTACAAAACGATTATTGTTGATACCTTATTTAATTTCATTAGTGTAGAAAACGTTTTAGTCCCTTGAGTACAGCAACTCCGTAGCATTTTTCACTGCGAGCTGCTTAAGAAGTAAATCCAACCCAGAGAAGCAACGAAAACTCCGCATAAAACTACAGCTCCCCGCAAGACCTACCGGGACTTTTCTGATATCCAACAAGGCGTAAGCGTGAGTAGGTACCAGCCCTGCTCGGTCAGCATCACTTTCACTCATTGGACCTGTTGCCACGGTGATGAGGCAGTCGCCTTTCATCAGTTAAAACAAATAAATAAGAAGATTAGTTTCCACTGCGCGGCTAAAAGAAGTTTACTGCCGTGGTGAATTGGAAACGCAATTGATGCGAATACGCGGGTTGTGGGTGGAGTTGGTGCTCACAAGGGGAGACAAAGCACTTCCGCCATTGGAAAAGACATTACAAGAAACCAAAACAAGAACAACGTACATGTATTAGGCAGCGTCCACACTATGCCGGGAAAATTTGAAAACGTAGCTTTATTTCTACGGTTTGGCCTACCGTCCACGCTAATCCGTCACGAAAACGGAGCTTTTCGAAAACGCTCTTCCAACCGGAGGAAATTTAAAACGCCGGGTTTTCTTTTTCGTGTGGACGGAAAACATTTTGAAAACGGAGCTTTCCGAAAACGATGGGGTCACGACAATCCTGTGATTTCCCTGACCGAGTTTTCCTCAGACACAAATCCAAAATGACCGGTGATTGTTAGTTTTTAAATTCCTCCTGCGTAGTGTAGACTGAAAACATTGGATGCATCTTCAGAGTGAAACCTTTGATTTCAAATTTCTCCAGCGTAGTGTGGACGGAAAACATTTGATGCGTTTTCAGAGTGAAACCTTCGTTTTCAAATTCCTCTGGCGCAGTGCGGACGGGACCTTAGTGTCACAAGAGAAAAGAGAACCAACAAGAGACCAGACCTGGGTTTTGATACAGGAAGAACTAAGTCTTTATGTCTGTGGGAAATATTACGAAGCTTGTTACCTTTTCTGACTCCGTTCAAGAGCCGATCAAAATGCATACTCTCATTGAATGCTGGACTGTTTCGCTTGATGGACGTCCGTTCTGGAATCCAGCCAGTGAGAGCGTGAAGATCAATACTCTGAAATGGGAACAGAAATAATTAATATACAAAGACAAACACGGAAAGTTCAATACTGCGCGAAATTGTGGGTCACCGAGCAAGAATAACCTCTTACCAACCGAGCGCCGGGGCTGTATTGAGAAACTTTGGTCGGAGGTCGTTGCAGCACGTACGACCTAGCGCAGCGCAGTCCGTACAAGAACAACCAAGGGCC